CAGTCATTACTCCAGTCATCAATGTTACATGATCCTTCAGGAATCATTCTAATATGCCGTTTTTTTGCTCAAGAATTATTATTATTATTATTATTATTATTATTATTATTATATTTATCAATTTTGAAAACAGTTGTGCTGCTTAATATTTTTGTGGAAACTTTGATGCATTTTATTTTCAGAATTGCTTGATTAATATAAAGTTCAAAAGAATATCATTTATTTGAAATGGAAATCTTTTGGACCATTACAAATATCTTCACCTTTGATCAATTTAATGCATGCTTCCTAAATAAGTGTTAATTAAACATTTAAATGGTATAGTATACGAACTAACATATGAACTAAAATAGAAAGAATATTTTTTTAAGAACTTGACACTTGCATTTTAAACTAATTATTTAATTTTTTGCATTTTTGAATTTCAAATGAATATAACAATGGAGATTTAAATATGACATTTACTTCCAGAACAATACTTTGCTGACTTGTGCACTCTTGAACAGTTCTGCAAATGGAAATATGCAGCCACTAGTGTGATTTAGCTCAGCACTTGTGGGTATGGCTCAATTTACACCGTTACAGGAAGAAACCACACTGTGGTCAGTTGCTAGTAGCTATATGGTAAGTAGTAGGGTTGACATGTGGCCCGATAGCATGGATTCACCATGGACTTTGATTTCTGTGGTCTAGTTCAGAGGTTACTCATGAGTTTGTGTGTTCATGCTTGTACGGCACCCTTGACTACAGCAATTAAAATAAAAACAAGTTGGGCTGTTCTCAAACATTGACTCGATCTGTCTGATTTGAGGAACGGTCGCATCACCAGGCAACACACTGTTAGTTTATCTGTCAGATGAGTTGCGTTAGTCCGGGGGAGTACAGAGAGTCGGACAGGAGCAACAGGGTCAGCTTGAGCTGTAATGATGGATTGCCAGAGCTAACACAGAGAGCCCATCTGCCTGCAGGCAGGAGCGGATCCACTCAGATGCCCATGGTGCTGCTGACTTCTGTGTGCCTGAGTGAGACCGCACATGCTAATGTGTTGTATCCTCATCGATAGCCTAAAAACAAAAGCCACCTTTCACCTCCCACCAGAGCTCTCGAATCTCAGACGCGGTTTTCAAACTGAGTTCAGGGAGCCGCAAGCGGGTGCTAGGCGGTCCGTGGATCATTTGAGAGAAAAGAAAAATATTTTACAAAATACTTTTTCTGGGCTATTAGAGTTAACGTGCCAACTTAAGGTACAATAACATTCAAAAGTTTGAGATTAGTAAGATTTTTTAAAAAACCTTTTTCCATCAAGGATGCATTAAATTAATCAAAAATGATAGTAAAGACATGTAATGGTGCAAAATAGTTCTTTTGAACTTTCTGATAATCATAATCCTAAAAAAGGACTAAGGTTTCTATAAAAGTATGTTTTTAACATTAATAAGAAGAAATTGAGCAACAAATCAGCATATTAGAATGATTTCTGAAGGATCATGTGTCACTGAAGACTGGAGTAATGATGCTGAAAATTCAGTTTTGACATCACAGGAATTAATTCCATTTTAAAATATATTAAAATAGAAAAGAGTTGTTTTAATTTTTAATAATATTTCACAATATGTCTGTTTTTACTTTGTTTTTGATCAAATAAATGAGTGAAAGAAACTACAAAAAAAACAGCAACAAAATCTTACTGGATGGTAGTGTATTTAACAATTATTTTTAACAATACATTTTTTTTAGTTGGTTTTACAAATAGATCTGAATTAAATTGAAAGTGTCCTTAATGTTATGTTTATATATCTAAAATTACTCTTAACAGTGACTAGAAAGTAATTTAAGACACAGTAAATATTCCCAGGTAATATTTTTAATAATTTCCTTGGACAATGACCGTGTAAAAGGATTTTTTCTTTGTAATAATAATAATAATAATAATAATAATAATTAGTTTAATAATTATTATTCAACAAAATGCAGTCACTATAGTATCAAACATATTATTTTTCTTACATGCTATGTATGAGTATTTACACATACATATAAATATATATTAATGTGTATATATAGCTACCCTCTTTTTTTTGCAAGATAATAAAATGTCCCGTACTTTTTCAAGGACTTACGGCAATACCCAAATGAATAGTGTAATGCAATAATAAACCCTTTGTGTTTATTAATTGTAACAGAAGAGCTTTTTTAATATAAGCATGACCTTTACTAATCCTTTGATACCCATCATCTCCACAATATTTGTTGCTTTCACTTGAAGTGGCTGCTGGGATATCAGCATGCTGAGCGTGCCTGTGTGCGTTTGATCTAATCGCTGAGAGCAGAGCAATGCACACGCACACACACAGACACTTCTCTCCTTCACACATCCTCACTGCTCTTTGTTGGAACATTGTAATCAGTGACCTCCATTGAATTTACATGCCTTGTTTCCACATCTCTCTTCCCATATATGGATTATTTTTAGCCTTCTTTCTGTGTGTGTGTGTGTGTGTGTGTGTGTAGAGTAGGTCGTAGTTGCTACTGTAAGGAACGGTGCCAGAAAGTGTGTGTGTGTGTGTGCATTAGAGAGGCACTAGTGTAAACCAGCCAGAGAGAATAAGGAACAGAGCTGCAGGATAAAAGACGTTCAGAGCATATGTGCCAGCTGACACTCGTGCACATGGTATGGTCTGTCTCAAGCACATCAGTTGAACTCTGCTGCATCAGCACACATCACCTCTCCAGGGCCGCTCACAAACCCCGGGCGTCCTCAGCGCTGACTTCCAACAGGCACACATGCACAATGCGGCCCAGCGACAGCCTTGAGATGCATAGGGCTGATGAAGTGTGAGGAAGACAACGGGAATAGCAGAAGATGGTTCACTGCATATGCAGAGATATCATAATAACTGCCACTGGAATTCTCATATTGAATCCTCGGTTTGCAAAAAACATTTAAGTAGAGGACAAGGTGTATTCTCTCTCTGCCATTCACTACTGAGACATGCTTGCACTGTATTGAAAATTGTTACCATTTCCTTTTTTCACTACTTTTTAAAATGTGAAAAGTATTTTTAATTTTTATGTGTCTACTTTTTACATTCATTCAATCGTTCATTGACATACCACATGATATTTTTAACCGGAACTATCATTTCCTTGTTCAAAAAAAGTTTTTAAGAGACTTGTTGACATATTGAGGCCATTCAGGGGTCTTCTGTATGATTTAATTTCATGTATAGTATTTTTTTTTAAACATGCGTCTGCATGCTGGTTGCACTACATGACCTTGATATTGCAATCAAATGTTTTTTCAAATATTAATTATTAAGCACTGAAACCATTGTTTTTGTAAGAAATAGTAATAAAATGTGCTAAACCACTACATTTTTCTTATCAATAAAAATATAAATTAATGGTGTTTTAATTGTATTTTCATCATAAGGACAGTTGTCAGCTTTTTTATATTTATCCCCCCCCCCTCCCCCAATAAAAATTCAGAAATTAAAAGCATTCTCATCCTGTAAAAGGTGTATTCAAGTCATTGTATGTATATGTGTTTTTATTATATATGCATTTATGTAACATGCATTTATTTATTTGTTATTATTTTAAGGTCCAATTCTTGCCATTAACAAACCATTAACTACAACTTTTACCTCAAACTTCTAATTTGCTGCTTATTAATAGTTAGTAAGGTAGTTATTAGGACGTAGGAGTTAACACTTTAGTATTGAGACCATTTTCACTATTAACTAGTTGCTTATTAGCATGCCTATTATTAACATATTGGCTGTTTATTAAAACTTATTAGCACATTTTCTGCATGACCATATTCTACACCCCTAATCCCTAAACGTAACCACTACTTAAATTTATTAATTTATCTTTTTACTTATTTTTGCAGTGAATCAATAGATCCAGACACACATGCACACAAAATGAATGTCTTGACAGAATATGCATTATGGATGAACTATCCTTTTAAGATCCTCTCTAATCTTTTCTATTAACTAGTCTCATCTCAACTAATTTTTTACGAAAGACAGCGTTAGCTGCCTGTAATTTCACAGCACACAGGCACTAATCTAAATTCATGATTATTTCTTCACTCATCAAGGCTCTTGTTTATTTAGCTTGATTCTTTTTATTCACACTAAGGCATTAGGTAAACAGATGATCTCTCGTTCACCAGGACAAAGCCTGCTGTATGTGACGAGTGCTCATGCAATGAGATAACTCGTACCTCGTGGCTGACATCACCTGCCTTTGCTCAGTTTCTTTCTCCCTATCGGTCTCTTCCTCTCCCTCCCATCAGGCCGTTGTCTTCCTCCCACAGTTGATCAGCATCTTAATGGTTTTCTGTTGTTTATGCCTGTCCAAACAGAGCTCTCATTAATGAATCTAGGCTGGTGAAGTGCGAATCAAAAAGGATGATCAAAGGTCACCCGAGCTATGGAGGCCCTGAAGCCCCCGCACCTGTGGGCAGCATCACATGATTTTCATGTTCTCCGCCACCCCTGCACTTCCTGTGAAGTCACTGCAGAGCCGATCGCCTTTAATTCGGTCTTTTGTTTCAACACGATTGTTGTTCAACCTCCTGCAGTTTAATTCCATCTATAAATCTTTTTATATTTACGGCGGGAGTTAATTGCTAGGTAACTGGTATCCCGGCAACATTGAAATGCTTTCTGATCCTTGACCAACGAGTGCAGGTTTCACTCTGGTCTTTTTCTATGTGAAGTGACCATTGGCCTTTTCATTTGAGCACCTATGTGGTTTTCAGAGCAAGGAGAGCGATAATGGCACGCAGTGGCTTGTTTGTGCCATAAGCGGACGCAAAAATCTCTAGGTCTAGGAGTCTTTAAAATGGAATTCCCCGTCAGCCACTGGAAGTGAAAGTCATTTTGCACTGTGTCAACATGTTCGTGTTTGAGTATCGTAACATTTAATGGACATGTCTTTTTCTCTTTGTCTTTCCCTCTATTTCTTCCTTCTCTCTCGCTCTCCAGACTGTTCAGTTTGTCCAAGGGATCTTTGTGGAAAAGTATGACCCCACAATAGAAGACTCGTACAGAAAGGCAAGTTCTGCATCATTTTTATTGTGCATAAGTTGTCAAACCAATGTCTTTTTAATGTTTTCCAGACTCAAAACCCATTTTATTGTTTTCTTACCTTTTCCTAGCCCAGCACATTCTGTACAGTAACACATAAAATGGACTTATCTAAATATAGTTAGTATATATATTTTTTGTAGGAACCATGAAGTAAGCCATACTACTTTTATAATCGAGTGAATTAAATACCTTATATAATTTTTTTGGGACTGAAATAAGTAAAGAAGTAATTAAGACTATGATTGGACATCTCACATTTGCTACGTACAGTGTTGGGGAGTAACTAGTTACATGTAATGGAATTATGTAATTTAATTACAAAATAAATATAATTGTAATCAGTTACAGCTACTGAGATTAATAAAAATGTGTAATTAAATTACACTTATGGAAATGTTAACGATTACAACAGGGGTTGCATCTGATTTTTTTTCCACACACACACATACAGATTTAATTGTTTTTTTTTCATAAATTCCATTGACTGCTTTAAAATGAGCAGTCCAATGTTTCAGGAGTTTAGGACACCGAATAGAACACATGCTCATTTTTTATGATTAACTGTTTATTCCAAGGCATTGTTAGATACAAGTGTTTCCTGTCTCAGCTATGCAAAGATTTGATTTCAAAAACCGTATCATAGCTATTAAACAATTTCTTGTTATGATTTTAAATCTGTATTTAACCTCAGAATTATCTCAAAGTAAGTCTGATTTTGTGGTGGCTGTGCTTTAAATTTAATTATTATAATCTTAATTCAAGTGATGAAGGATTTTGAAAGTCTGACAGTAATCAGTGTTGAGTACTACTGTAAGATTAACCCTGCCATGTTTGAAAATGATTAACAGTTGAAAGCTTTAGAAATTTAGAAAAGTAATCAAATGTAATAAGTTACTTTACTTCAGTTACATTACTATAAAGTAATTGAAATGGTTACACTGCTTATTACATTTAAAATAGGGTAACTTGTAATCTGTAACCTGTTACATTTCCAAAGTAACCTTCTCAACACTGGCTATGACTTATCTCACAATATGCAAATGTTTTCTGTTACGACAGAGGGCTTTAATATTTCTGAATAGGTCTCAGTTTCAAATAAAGTCATTTTATATCCCACAATTGCAACTTTATTTCTTGCAATTGTGACATAATACTCTACTTTGTGACTTTATATCTAGGTGCGGTCACGTTACTGAATTTCTGAAAAATTTCTGAAAAAAAAGATCCATTGTCTATTACGATCCATTGAAAACTTAAGCCAACTGCAAAACCTATGTGGGAAAATCTTTCACCCTCGCATGAAATCCCCCAATTTTTGTGGGTGAAAAAAGTCATTGATTATAGACAGCTTCATTGATTATAATGGGAGCAATTTAGTTTTCATGCAAAGCGCTGCACTATTTGGGTCTGGTGTAACTGTAGGTTGCTTAACAATTTGGAACATAAATATAGAATATATTTTGTATATATTGGTTATTACACATTTGTGGCTGATCCCATTAAATTTTTTGTCTTTTGTTGTTAACTCAAGTGTCAGTTTAAATGGAAACCTTCAGGTATGACCACATTTACCAATGTTTGGCAAATTTTTGTGGGTGAAAAAGTTATTTCAGTAGGAATCCCACGTGGATTCCTACTGAAATTACTTTTTCACCCACAAAAAATTTAATTGGATCAGCCACAAATGTGTAATAACCAATATATACAAAATATATTCTATATTTATGTTCCAAATTGTTAAGCAACCTACAGTTACACCAGACCCAAATAGTGCAGCGCTTTGCATGAAAACTAAATGCCCCATCTGTGACACAGTTTGCTGACTATAATATAAATTTCTGCTTATGTCAGATTTTTTCCAATTGCAATGCAGGTATATCATGACAGAATCTCCTATCAGTTGACACATTTCTACAGGATGTACCCCGTCCTGCCCTAGTAACACACATCAAAGAAAACACTGTGTGTGTGTGGGATGTCTCATCGACCCTGCGCTCAGACTGCTGTGTTCGATGATGTTTATATTTTAATGGCCTCTGTCCCAAGACCTTGAGACAAAGGCTGTGTCTAAAAATGAACCTTCACTCAAACAGTAAAAGGAAGTCCCATCTTGACCAGCACCTCCCTTCCTCGCTGTTGCTTACGCTGCTGTCCCATGGGCACTTCCTGTAGCCGAGGCTTACCGGCGTTGACGTACAGTACCACATTTTATTAGTGCTGATTTTATTCCTTGTGTATACAGAGGCACTAAATATATTTGTGACCCTGGACCACAAAACCAGTCATAAGGGTCAATTTCTCGAAATTGAGATTTATACATCATCTGAAAGCTGAATAAATAAGCTTTCCATTGATGTATGGTTTGTTAGGATAGGACAATATTTGGCTGAGATACAACTATTTGAAAATCTGGAATCTGAGGGTGCAAAAAAATCAAAATACTGAGAAAATCACCTTTAAAATTGTCCAAATGAAGTTCTTAGCAATGCATATTACTAATCAAAAATTATGTTTTGATATATTTATGGTAGGACATTTACAAAATATCTTCATGGAACATGATCTTTACTTAATATCCTAATGATTTTTGGCATAAAAGAAAAGTCGATCATTTTGACCCACACAATGTTTTTTTTGGCTATTGCTAAATAATATACCCCATCGACTTAAGACTGGTTTTGTGGTCCAGGGTCACATTTGATCATTTTTAAACGCTTAAGTTGCACTTAATATTGAATTTCACTTAAAATGGGATTTTTATTACATTCAATGATAAAATAGCAACACAGTGTTTATAAATAATTTAAAGCATAGTGGATATGTGAAGTCGATGAAAGAAAACTATGAACAGGTTTCTCAACCAGAAAGTGACTTTTGCCTTGAATTAGAAAAAAATAACTATTAAATATTGTTTTACAATTTGAAACACACACACACGTTTCAATTAATCTAATTATTTTTTTTTTATTTTTAAATGCTGCTTATGTGTCCAAATACTTACTGGGTCCCACTGTTTACAAACTGGAGAACCATTTTTTTTTATATAATTACTGTAGATTTACTATTTTTATACTATTTTGATATTTAAATGATGTCACAAAAATGAAGGTAAAATGGTGTTGCAATCTGAAAGTGTTATAGTCTTTGTGTGTACTAATCCCCCATAAAGGTTGTTTTTTGATGCCAGTCAGTTTGTTGTTGATTTTCTGTTGTTTCGGTGTCTTTGCAGCAAGTGGAGGTGGATGGACAGCAGTGTATGTTGGAAATTCTGGATACTGCCGGCACGGTAAGACAGTTTGTGCTGTTGTGACAGTTACATGTATTTTAAAGAGTTAATGATTTTTCAATTCAGTCATACTGTTACATGCAACTGGTGTTTAAATGTCCTTTGACGTCGCAGCCAAGATAAAATCTTGTATGGTAGCTGCCAGTATCAGTGTACAGTAAGTCATCCGTGTTGACTTTTAACAAACAACCTGGAGATTAAATGGATGGTTTGAAATCAATGGGATTAAAACCTTAGAAAAAACATTTCTAAATCAGATTTTTTTTGTTGTTGTTGTTGAACATTTCTCACAATGTAAGTCAATCACATTTGTGAGCTGGTGCTGATTGACTGTAGCACAACTAAATGTGTTACATTTGCCTCTGGTCTGTGATAAATAAGTGTGTACATGTGCATCCTCGTGGTCATCCTCGTCTCATACAGGTGCAGGAGGTTAGAGAGCGATTTCGTCCCCTATGGGGGATAAGGACATCTTTCCAGTACTGCAAGCCCTTGTTTTACAACTCTGAGTTGTAGTGACAGATGGTGAATGTTGTCCTTGGGCTCTCTGCCCCAGAATGGAGCCACAGTCAAATGAAACAGAGCCAAAGAAGCTGAGAATATTCCTGTCAGAGATGTGAACTAAAAATTGGCTACAGTTTTTGTACAGTAGGACTGGCACTTGCTCTGAAATGGTCAAAGTATTATTCAATCTAGTGCTAGTTGCAAAAAAAGAGACTCAATAACATAATCTTAATTGAAATTGGGTGAGTTGAAACCACAAAGTCAATGACTTGTGAACAGAATGGCTTTAAACTACAAACTTTAAACAATAACCGTTAAAGTCAGTCTGCAAATGGCATAAGGCATAGTTAAAATGAACATTCTGGCATCATTTACTCACCTTATGTTGTTCTGAGCCTATATGACTTGGAACACAAAAGATGTTTTGGTAATTGTTTATGCTGCTCTTTTCCTTGTAATGAAAGTAAATTATAGCCAGCAGCTATCAAGCTCCAAAAACATTCTTAAAATATCTTCATGGAAGAAAGAAAGTCTATACAATTCTTTGAGTTTGTTTGTGTGGATTTCTCCCCCACAAATCCTGAGCTCATGCCCACTCACTAGCACATTTAATGAGACACTGTTGTGTCCTCTGGAGAGAAAAAAGATCATTATTCTCATCCATAGCCTTCCTTTTCTAGACATATTACACGTTACCTTTGACAACCATCTTCATTCTCCATGGGTTTTAGAAGCACACTGACCCAGAGGAAACAAAGCTGTGGAGCTATTGATGTGCCTCTGGCCTTATTAGCCTTATCAGGTCACTTCATGTTCAGCTCATACAGGACAAGAACTGTCTATCTGAGCCATCTGAGCTACCGGAGTTCATTCAGAACCGCAGTGTAAAAAAAAAAAATTTTAATAATGTGAAATATTGCAATTTTAAATAACAGTTTTTTATATTTGGAGGTGAGACACTACAGGCAAAAATGCTGTTTTTAAATGCACTGTTTAATTTTGAGGCTTTGTGCAAAAAATGAAGTGTTTTTTCAGACTAGTGGAAAGAAAACATCCAAAATACATTTTTAAGTGTTTCTTTCATAGCACCTTTTCTGTTTGTATGAGACTTTTTCTCCTGCACTGAGCCAAATATCTCTGCTTCAATAATACTGACATACACCATATTCTGAAGGTTTTTACAGAGGGGTTTGTTCATGCGTAATTTGCCTGGTTTTATACAACATTTTATTCCTTATAAACTGTGAAAATGTATTTTCCCCCTGGCTGTTGACAGTATTTTCTGATTTATCGAGTGATAAAAAGAGCTATCCAATATCACCTCTGTAAAATGAAACGATCATTTTCAACCTGGCTTTATCCAATGTTAAGATTTTTGTTCTAGAAATGTATGTTAATTAGCGCATATTTAATTATATAATGCCTCATTTGCACATTTAAACATAACATTGTAGAAAACTTGTAATGCAAAAATGTTTGTAATTATTAATGTAATCAGTCAACTAAGTATGGTGATATCTATTAGTTATTATTTTTTACCCTTAATATATGTAATTTATTCCTGTGATGGCAAAGCTGAATTTTCAGCAGCCAGTCTTCAGTGTCACTTGATCCTTCAGAAATCATTCTATTATGCTGGTTTGTTGCTAATAATATTTATTATCTTTATCAATATTGAAAACAGTTGTGCTGCTTAATGTTTTTGTGGAAACTGTTCTTTGATAAATAGAAATTTCAAAAGAATTGTATTTGAAATGGAATTATTTTATATATTATAAATGTCTTTGCGGTTGCTCTTGAGTTTTTGCTAAATACAAATATTAAAGTAAATGTGACCTCAAACTTTTGAATGGAAGTTCCATCTGGTATTTCCAGGTTAAATGCAGATGGAACACATTTATTTTACAAACATATTATTTATTAAAATCAAATGACCATTTAAAGTCTCATCATATTTGTGCTTTTGGTATTTTTTTTTTACATTGCTTCAGTTATAATTTAGTTATATAATACTACAATAAACCAGTATATATATATATATATATATATATATATATAAAGCACAATATGTTGGTATCGTATAGGTTATTTCATATTTGGACAGTGTTACTTTAAAAAAAAAAACTGCTCTGTACTCACTATGAATATTTTGGAGTGTTTTAGAGATTTTTTAAAATTTTGTCTGTCAGTACCTCAACTCCTCCATACACTATCTGAACACTTCTCCTCACTTCACCTCCTCTTTCTCTCCCACTCAGGAACAATTCACAGCCATGAGGGACCTGTACATGAAGAACGGCCAGGGCTTTGCACTAGTATACTCCATAACAGCACAGTCCACCTTCAACGACCTGCAGGACTTGAGAGAACAAATTCTGCGGGTCAAAGACACGGATGATGTGAGTCTTGTCCAGCTCTCCATTTCATCTCCAGAAACTCAACTTCAGTGTCTGCTGCCCTGCCTTTAGCTTTCATCTCACCCTGTGCTTTGATCGTTTCAGTACCAGTATCTGCTTTTTCACACCCACCCTGAGCCCTCATGCTCGCCATCGTCAATAAGGGTGACCTTTCGGCTGTGAAAAGGCTCGTCTTCCCTTCTTGTCCACCTCTCTCTGTTTGACAGTTCTGGTTGGGCAAGCAAAAAATTTGCTAGCTGAGTTTACTTTGATTGCTTTCCGGTTTATCGCAATTCCAGAAATGTTATCGCTGGAGGTCGCTAATAGGCATAGTGATAATGTTTTTTTCTGAAACTAACATGACTACAAATAGTACATTGCCACTACGTTTTTAAAAGATTGCATGAATCATACTCGCTGACAATCAACAACTTTCAGTGAAAATGATTGACTTCCTATTGCAAAAATAACTGTGTGTGAACGTCCCTTAAGATATAGTGTCTTTTGTCACAAAGTCGGACTAGGCTTGGATTGAATTGCGGCCAAGTTTGTTAGGAGGAAATAAATCCGTGTGAAAGGTGTGTGTGTGTAAGAACTCATTCTAAACGGTTTCTGAGAAAGATGATAGTGTGACGACCTCAGTTGACCTGCGCTATTTCTGTCCACTTCCTCAGCTCAGCTGATTTAACACAGGACCTTTCGGTTATTAATTCTGCCTGGGCTACTTGCTTTTTTTTTTCTTTTTTCATTTACACAATATGTCAGATTTTCTTGTTGCTTTGAAAGTATCTGCTGAAATCAAATGTAAATGCTTTGTCTCATAGTTTCACTTCTGCTATTATATCTGGACTGTCTCTCAGTTGAAAAACTGAGAGTTGTGTGGGAGTTTTTAGCTGCGTTTGTGGTGTTGTATGCAAATATGAATGCATCTAAAGCCTCGAAATGACCAAAGGGGGTTTCGGCTATCTCTCTGCTTCCCCTCTCTTTTTCCCTCTTTTGCAGTATCTTTTTCAATTAAGGAATTACAACAGCTGTTGCAAACTGCGGCCCCTTAAGAATGATTTCTGCTAATATAGCACCACAGTTTCTGCTAATGCCTCTAAATAGCTCCTTGGATGAAAAACAAATAGAGAAGTAGGAAATGATGACCATGTAAACTTATATTTTAACTGTTTTTGTGTGTGAAATGTGTGCTGAAAATGCAAATGAATTGTCACTTCTTCTCAAAAAGACATTCACTTTTTTTGTTCTAATCCCTAAACCATTGTATTATCACCTGATTTCTTGATCCTTACATGACTCATTTAAATCTGAAAACTCAGTCGAAGTGTTTCTTTTCAGGTGCCAATGATCCTGGTGGGTAATAAGTGTGATCTGGAAGACGAGAGGGTGGTCGGGAAGGAACAATCGGTTGGAACTCTCTCAATAAGATAATGAGGAACTTCAGGTGCGAGTGACCACAGTCAAAGCGATTCATCACATTCAGTTAATGCAGCCAGAGCGATTTACTTTTCACAAGCTTTCATGTTTCTTCTCCGTCACAAGTTGCAACAGGCGGTTTTTCAAATTTTTGAAGCCCAAAATGACACAAAATCCACTAATAATCAGTATAGAGTTAAGAGCAGTAGGAAACGACACATTTGTATTTTTTTTTTAGTTCAAAATAACTGATTTGCATTACTATCTTTTTAGTCACCAATATAAGAAATATTTAAAAAAAAGACATTTCTTTAGCACATTCCAGACGGGTTGTTGTTTAACAACAGTTGATGCTGCTTTGTTTGAAACGGCTTTCACTGGTGGATCAAAATACATTTTCAACAAAAAAATATATATATTTTTGAGTTAATTGTATAAAAGTTGAGTTTTTATGGACAAAACCATGCCAAAATCCAATTAGACAGGAAATTATAGGATTAGAAAGGAAATTTGGTGATGGCATGGCTCTCTCTCTCTGACATTGAAGATGATCCTGGTGGGTAATAAGTGTGATCTGGAAGACGAGAGGGTGGTCGGGAAGGAACAAGGCCAGAATCTCGCCCGTCAGTGGAACAGCTGTGCTTTCCTGGAGTCCTCTGCAAAGTCCAAGATTAACGTCAATGAGGTGAGAATGACTTACAGATGGAAAATAAGGCCTCTTTTTACCCATTATGTTATAAAAAGTCACATATTTCATGTTAAAGCAGAGTTTTTACAATGTAAGACCATATTGAAGGATTTATTTATTCGAATACATGGTAACACTTTAGTAGGGACCAATTCTCACATTTAACTAGTTGCTTATTAGCATGCATATTAACAACATATTGGCTGTTTATTAGTATTATAAAGCACATATTCTGCATGACCATATTCTACATCCCTAATCCTACTCAATACCTAAACTTAACAGCTACCTTAATAACTGTAAGCAGCAAGCAAATTAGGAGTTTATTGAGGCAAAAGTCGTAGTTAATGGCAAGAATTGGACCTAAAAAAAAGTGACCGAATACATGGCTACTTTTTAATTGATGCCAACAGAGAATGTTTGTAAATGGTGTAGCTGAAAAAAAATGGTGTAGAAACAATTTTCACTAAGGAAAATTCTTGGAAATGAATTAAACGTGACATTTTGAACTAGAATTTTTGAACAACTTTCTTGTAAAACATACTTCAATCTTTGTTTTTATTACAACTTCAAAAAAAACTTTTTTATATTGTATGGCTTCTACCAGCAGGGGCCCCAATACCTAAACTTAACAACTACCTTACTAACTATTAATAAGCAGCAAATGTATTTTTAGTTTGAGGCAAAAGTCGTAGTTAATGGCAAGAATTGGACCTAAAAAAAAGTGACCGAATACATGGCTACTTTTTAATTGATGCCAACAGAGAATGTTTGTAAATGGTGTAGCTGAAAAAAAATGGTGTAGAAACAATTTTCACTAAGGAAAATTCTTGGAAATGAATTAAACGTGACATTTTGAACTAGAATTTTTGAACAACTTTCTTGTAAAACATACTTCAATCTTTGTTTTTATTACAACTTCAAAAAAAACTTTTTTATATTGTATGGCTTCTACCAGCAGGGGCAGGTTTTTTTTATACTAAAATATAAAATAATTTCTGTACAAACTAACATTTGTATAAAAAAAAATCTATAACTCCCTCCTAAATGTTTTTTTTAAAAATTAAAATTAAGTATCATTTATAATTATAATGTAATGTGAAATGTAATGCACAATATTTTTTATATTTTAGTTTATTTATTTATTTATTTATTGTTACCTTGATCACTGAACACACAGATCTGTTTTTCTTACTGTAAACTGTTTACCGCAGAATACTCGTATATAAGCTTTTCCATTATTGTTGTCTTAATATTTGAAATATTTAAATCTGGGAATTGAGAGGTGAATCTAAAAGGGTGTTTTTAATCTTAGGTAAAGCTTCATTCAATAGGCTGTGTATGGGCATGATCTTTTGCCCAGTCTTTTCAGTTGGGCTCAGGCTTCGGTTGTCTTCTGACATGCCTGTGCTGGCGTCACCATGGAGCTGCTCTTCTCTGCTGAGGTCTCAGAACAGTGTCATTGTCAGCTAGTGATATCTCTCCATGAAAGTGTAGTCACACATTAGCAAAGCAGGCAGTCAGCTGCAACGCTCGGACACAGAGCGTCCTTTTGTGAGCAACACGACTCTGCCTACATGACATAGAGCTGCTTTGAGTTCAGTCAGTTAAAAAATCCAGTTGGTTATAGCGGTATGGCAGTGTGTAAGGAGAACCGAGTGAACACAGAGTTATATGAAACCCCTGTGCTGGTCTGGAGTCAATTCTGTAGTTTATGAGAGGTTACTGGAGGGCAGAAGGTGATGATTTGAAGTCTTCAGCTTTTTTTTTTTATCCCGCTTGGGCGTTGCTCCAGGATTATTTATTTACTTGTGTCAAAGCACAGACCTGCATCATCATTAAAGTCTCAGACTCTCCCGTAAGCGACATCCAGATACCGATTTAATGGATCTTCGGTTGGAACTCTCTCAATAAGATAATGAGGAACTTCAGGTGCGAGTGACCACAGTCAAAGCGATTCATCACATTCAGTTAATGCAGCCAGAGCGATTTACTTTTCACAAGCTTTCATGTTTCTTCTCCGTCACAAGTTGCAACAGGCGGTTTTTC